GTGCCAGATGTTATAGGAGTTGAAAATTGACATTGCAATTACGTGTAGTAGTTCCCAATTTACAACAGTTTGTTTAGTGACTGCTTGAAGGTACAACGGCACTGAAAAAAGCGATGCACCATTTTTCACACTTACTGCATCTCTGTGGTCACATGACTTCCATATGCTTGACAACTGCCTCGTGTTTATGACGGTTGCGGCCTTGTGCGACCTTTTGACAAGCGAAGGCAATGGGGAAGCCAGCGTCATGACCTTGTTAGAATCGGACTGTGGGAGAGGAGGAACAGCCGACAGGGAGTGGAAGTGTGGCTCCGGAGGTTGTGGAGGAGGCTGGGGAGGGGCAGAGGCCAGCTGGGTAGTCAGAGGAAGAACCAGGCCCATCCCCTCTTCATCCTAGGACACGCAGGGAGGAACGGAGAAGGAAACAACTCAGCTTACGAGAGAGGAAGCGGCCATGATCCCACTCATTGGTTGTAGCTGGGGAGAATAGTATATAAGAGAGACGATTACAACACAGCATTGACAGAAGCAAAGTGTGTTTTATTTTGGGCTGAAGTTATCTTGGTTGGCATCCTTCCAAAAGACTGTGCCTTGTTATCTCCTTGAAGATGGTAATTACTTATCCTGTTCCATTGTGGAAATTCCTTCATTGTAGTTTGTTTTGGTTTTTTATTTCACCTCTGTCTGCTCATTAAGTTCGGACTGTATTGCTTTCTTTTGAAGACTAGTTTTGAATATGTTTTATCTCCAGTGGAGAATTATTGAACAGTGGGGCCAAGTTGGAGGCATTAAAGGACATTCATTTACATTTTGGATTTTGTTACATTTGTGTTACACTCCGGGTCATCACAGCTAGATTCACTCACTTAAACTGCAGGGAAAGGCGTAAAATGAAGCATGGCTCGCTTAACAAATGCCTCGCTTAGCGAGATACGTTTTGGGCTCAATTGCTGTTCGTTAAGTCGGGAACTACCTGTATGACAAACAGATAAACGTTAACTAGCAATATGACTAACACAGATTTATGTGTTTTTTTCTCTCTCCAAGGTTTAATGCATGTGCACAACAAGCTGGTGGAACCTCTATGTAGCATGAAAGAGCAAAACTGATGGACAGAACCACACCGGCGCATTGTTGGTGGTGGGGGACCCCGGCCGTGTGTTTTGGGGAACAGAATCACTAGGGCAAACTGCGGAACCTTGGCTAAAACCAAGCATCTTTTTGCAATCCAGGGCTTGTGCGTTTTCCTCACGGTCCAGAATGGGTGTGTTAACATTCCTCTCTATGCTGTCAAAAGCCTTTTTTTCCTCGTCTTCCCCCTGCCCCCCCACCCCCTTTCGTGTATTTACAGGGTCTGAAATGATGCAACAGTTCAAAGTTGAGAAGCTCAAAACCAGTTGCTCAGGGAGAAGAATTTAACCTTCTGGCAGGGGGTCTTTGGAGGATGTGTTTTTTTAAAAAAGGACCCCCGAGGGGAGCTGCCCCAGTGTGATTTTGCTTCCACCTTTTTTTTTTAAAAAAATATTATTATTAGTTAATCTTTAGTGAGATTCACAGCCTTTGGGGCTGGTTGGTAGCTCAACAGCTCGAGTCCTAACCAAGGACCTAGGAACTGTTCAGGTAGCGTCGGAGGATATAAGCTGTTCCAAGTAGGGTGGCTTTTTGTAGAATCAGAGTATTCAAATGTGATAAATTCAGGATTTAGCCAGATAGCCCTTTAGGTGTTGCACCAAGGGCTCCAATTACAATTGGGATAACACACGATTTCTTTTTCCAAAGTCGCTCAACTTCCATTTGTAAGTCCTGATACTTTGATTTTTTTCCTTACTGCGTGTCTACAATTCGTGCATCATCAGGTATTGCAATGTCAATGAACCAAACCTTTTTCTTCTCAACTATTGTTATGTCAGGTGTGTTGTGAGTCAAATGCTTACTACTACCATTGTTAATATTACTACGTGGGAAGGGGGCTTCAGTAACCTTGTTATGGCCATCTGGGCTTTTCCCAGATACACCCTCCAAGCTCTGTGGCTGGAATAGAAACTCTTCCTTTGATGCCTTTAGATCTTGGCCTCTGGACAGTGATTTGTAACAGAGAAGCAAGGACTTTACAATTAGGTGTTTCTACACACTTCAAATCTATCCCTTCTTTCCTGGGAATAGGGTGCAGGAGAGTATGAATGGAGTAGCCGTCTTGTAAACAATTGTACTTCTCTGAAAGTTTCTGGACAGACAATCTATGTTTTGTTCCATTCATATTTCCTTTTTCTTCTTTCTTATCTCTTTTCTTTCCTTCCTTCCTCTCCCTTCTTTCTTTTCCTTTCTCTCTTCCTCTTTTCCTTCCTTCTTTCCTTTTTCTCTCCTTTTCCTTTCCCTTCTTTCCCTCCCCTTTTTCTCCCTTCTCTTTTCCTTCTTTCCTTCCATTTTTTCTTTCCCTCTCCTCTCCCTTTTTCTCTTCCTCCCTTTCCTTTCTTTCCCTTTTTCTTTTCTCTCTCCCTCCCTCCCCTCTTCTACTTTCCTTCTTTCTCCCCCCCTCCCGCAATATACCTTAAAAGGACATTTATTTCTGCTACAACACTCATTTGAAGGGTGGGGTAGATAATTTGGGCTGTTTCGCAATGTTATTCTTGCCAGAAATGGGTAATGTATGTATTTTGAATGCCATTGCAACGGTTAAAATCTCCTAAGCCACTGCTCGTTATGACTCTTAACTAAAGTAAAGGGGCACATTATTGCTTTCTCCTGTGCTTACCCTGCATTTTTCAAGCGTCTTGTGGATTGAAAAAAGGATGGGAGCTTTTCTGAGGTGTAGGAGGATTCTTTGCAAATGCTTTCTTCACTGTAAATGGGGAATTTTATGGATTTAGTTTCTGGCATTTGAGATTAAAGTTGAAGAAACTGCTGACGACGCAGCCTCCCAATTTCTATAGGGCTTTGAGTCAAAATGTTACTCTCGATATTTTCCACCCAGTTCTTCCAAAGATTGTGGGAATGAAAGAGTGGAGAAAACAGCAAGAAATCTGCGTGAACGATGTCATTGTTTAAATCATTTGTTTCTTCAACCTTGGCAACTTTTGAAGATTTTTGTGGACTTCAAACTCCCAGATTTCCCCAGCCACTACGAGGAATTCTGGGAGTTGGGAAGTCCAACCCATTTTTAAGTTGAGAAGCAGAGAAACCCACTTGGTCACTTTTAAGATATGGCCAAGTTTTGAAAAAAACATGGTCTTGTACTTCCTCTCTGCTGAGAAAATAAAACTCCAGCTCCAGAATTTTGTTGCGGTGGATTCTTCAAATGTCTGCAAACTGCATCCAAATGGATTGGAAGTCAACATGCTGCAAAGGGGATATGTGATGACCCCGGGTGGGGTACAAATTAAAGTCCCAATAACAAATGAAGTCCCTTTAATTCCTTCAAAGCTCCAAATATCCTTGACTGGAGACAAACTCCCCCACAAACAATTATGGAAAGGAGGAAATGCCATTTAAACTAAAAATGCTTATAAATTATAGAGTACAAACAACACAAACCACACTGAAGCAGTTAAGGGAACCAGGCAAGATAAGGGCTTGAAGACGTCCACAAATATCGGAACACCCACTGTGAAGGATGCCAAACTCAGAGAGGAACGACAGACTAGAGATATTTCCATGCTTTGTTTCCAGCACTGACCCATACGCATGTCTGTCCTTTTAACCAGTTCTCACAGCTGCAGCCCACGAAGAGGATCAAGACCCTTTCCATCCCTGTAGACCATGCCTCTCCCTCTCTCCCGTTTCCTCTCCTCCCTGTATGCCTTACGATGGAGGGGATGGGCCTGGTTCTTCCTCTGACTGCCGAGCCGGCCTCTGCCCTTCCCCAGCCTCCTCCACCACTTCCGGAGCCACACTTCCACTCCCTGTCGGCTGTTCCTCCTCTCCCTCGGAGTCAGTCTCCAACAGGGGCATGACAGGATAATTCAATTTATACTCCACCTTAAGATGGAAGTAGTTTTGAAAAAGGCTAAGCAAGCTCACACCAAAGATCCCAAACAGGCAGTCCCTGACTTACGACAATTCATCTAGTGACTGTTTCAAAGTTACAACGGCAAAAGTGGAAAAAGTAACAATTTTTCCCTACTTAGGCAGCATCCCCATAGTCATGTGATGAAGGCACTTGATAACTGACTCATCTTTATGACCGTGGCCGTGTCCCAGTCACACAACTCCCTTTTGCGACCTTACTAACTTCACGACTTCAGCGATTCACTTAATAAATGGTGCCAAGAAAGGTCATAAAATGGTGCAAAATTCAACAAACATCTCTTTGGAAGAGAAATTTTGGGGCTTCGTTGTTGTCGTAAGTTGAGGATTTCTTTAATTTGTACGCCAGGTTTATTTACCTAGAGTAGCAGCCAAGGGATTGCAAATGTCAAGACCTGGATTGTAATCACAATATGGAAAAAGACAAATAGGCACCTCAAAGGCCCAAGGCTACGGTTCTAAAAGATGGCATCCAAAATTGGTCATAATAGTCTCGGTGTTGTGGCCCGCCAGCAGCCAGTGGAGCTATCAGTAGATTTGGACAGGGAGGAGGTTGGGGAGGAACATGGGCCAGTCCTGGAGCCTGGGGAAGGCTCTGACGAGGGCTCTGCATCGGAGGCAGAGATGGGGCCGGGGCCATCCGACAGTTATCAGCTGCCTTTAGAGTCGGAGATCAGGGGGGCAGAAGAACAGCTGGAGCCTGTTCCCAGTGTGCGCATGCACAGAGCTGACAGGAGAAGAGAACAGTTAAGGAACAAGGGTTGACTCGGGAGTAAAGGCACAGGTGGATGGTGAATGACCCCTCCCAGAGGGAATAAAGAGGAGCGAAAGGGGAGTGGAGTTTGCAGGAGACAATTAATTATGGTGAAGATCTGCTCCTGACTTCTTGCCAAGTAATTGCTGCTAGAGCGTGGCGTTTGGAAGCTATCGGCCTGGCAGCTCCAAAACTGATAAAAGTCTGCAGTTGTGAAATCTCATGGAAGACTGTTGGCCGGGACTTCGCTGGAGAGGAATTCCCTTTACCCACAATAAAAGGGCTAAAGGGGTTTTATTGGGATGAGGAGTCGGCTTCATGATTTTGGGAAGCCTAGGTCACTAAATTCGGACGCTAAACTATATTTTAGATTTTTAGGCCATCAGTTTTGCTGCTTTATTGAACAGCTCCCATTAGACGTGGTGTCAAATTCGTACACGAATAGATGAGATCCAATTCAGGGTGATACCCGGTTTGCAAACTGCTGGCTCAACAGTTCCTACCAGCTGGACTTTGCAAACAGCTGGAAGCTATCTGTCAAGCTGCTTCTTGAGAACTTTGATAAAAGTGTCCTTTGGCACCTCTACGTTCCCAATTCTCCTCATCTTCTTCTTCCCTTCAGCTTGCCTCTTCAAAAGCTTCATTTTCCTTGTAATGTCTCCTCCATACTGTTTTAACAAAACAAAACAAAACAAAAAAATGTTTCTGGGTTAATACCGATAAAGGAGAATATTTGTAGCTCAGGGCTGAAAGGAAGGGTCCTTGGTGCTTTTTTTGCAGATGTTTCGTGACCCAACTAGGGAACATCATCAGTGATAGAAGGGAGTGGGGTTTGCAGAGAGGAGGAGGAGGAGGAGGAGGACGACAACTGTGGGGTCTTTGGTGGTCTCTGAATTTGGTTCTTTTCTTGTAGACATTTCATGACCCAACTAGGTAACATCATCAGTGCTAGAAGAGAACACCAGAAGGAAAACCCACTCCGTTCTAGCACTGATGATGTGACCTAGTTTGGGTCGTGAAACGTCTTCAAGAAAACCGCCCCGCTGAGAGAGCACCAAGGACCCCATAATCCTTTCCTCTTCTCCACACACCTCGCTCCCTTCTGACAATGATGATGTTACCAAGTTGGGTAATGAAATGTCTGCAAGAAAACGACCATGCTCCGAGATACCAGTCAATGATGATCCTTCCCCCACCCCCAGCATTGCTCTTATCCTAAATAATAAACAGTAAGTTAAAAACCATGAGAATTCTATCAAGCACTCCAGGTGAATTTAACCTGAGGTTCAAACTTTAAATGAAGTGGATAAAATCTTACTTAAGGGGGGGGAAAAAGTGGCTAACTTATATTAAAAAGATTTTTTTTTGAAAAAAGGAAATACTAAACTCAAGACTCACGAAAATGGAAAAAAAGAAAAGAAAAGATACTCACACATTTTGCCAGAACATCTTTCCTAAAAGCTTTCACCCTGGAAAATAAAGTGAACCGAGTTGCGTTTTAAAAGGATAATACAAAATATTCCATCATTTGAAGTTCTGAAACAACAAATAATTGCTAATTCCATGCTTTTAAACCTCTCTATATGCTGCCTTTGTAATAGGAATGTCTTAAATCAAATGGATAAGGCTCTTTGGCACTGAGCAGCTACTTAATTTAAAAATTAATCTTCTACTCTTGTTTTCTAGTTTATTTAAAGCTTCCATTTTCATGCTACTGGAATACAATATAATTGGATTTTTTTTCCCCTTTCAATGGGCTAGAATTGGGGTGACTGAATGCAGCGGAGCGTTTCCTGGCCGGATGCCTTTCTTGTCGCCAATATGGAGTTATACTCAGTGGATATATAGTCATCATGCCCAGAGAGAGAAATATCTGCTGCTACTTAGGATTGAACTCTCAGCTCTTGTGAGTTGAGAGTGCTACCTCTAGACTCTTGCACCCCTCATATAATTGGATATAGTATACATAATATAATCAGTCATTAAATGAATTGTTGTAAGTTGAGATCTAACTATATACTCCACCTACTTCTTTATGGGACACATTTCCTTAAAGGCCAAATTTAATTAATTAATTCCCAATCTGAGACACCCACTTTAGAAATCAGGATTATACTGGTAGCCCAAAATTAAGCCCAAAATTCATGATGCCCAGTATTCTGATCCAGACTTCGTAAACTGTAATTATTCACAAACTTGTTTTAAAAACAAAACCTATTTTATTGCAATGCTGGGAATTATTTTCATTCCCAGCTGGAATTAATTTCAAACAGTCCCCTGAGATAAGCACCCACTTTCAGTTTTGTGGAGTGCTGCCCAAAACAGAAGTATCCAATGAACTAGAAAAGAAACCAACCGAAGTACAAAAAAACCAACAACCGAAGTACAACGAGCTTCAAGGATGACTCAGAACCGATCTACTTTGCTTCCTGCAAAGGTTTCATCACCTTGGCCTGACTTTTATCCCTGATGGGAGGGGCAACTGAGTTTTGCTCCATTTTACGATGTTTTCTTGTCGCCTTTTTAAGTGAATCACTGCAGTTGTTAAATGAGTAACACATCTGTTCGGCAAATCTGGCTTCACCCTTGGACTTTGCTTGTCAGAAGGTTGCAAAAGGGGATTTGTGCGACCCCTCCACCCCGGGACGCTGCAAGCCACTGCAAGTGTGAGTCAGTTGTTAAGCATGCGAGCGTAAAATCACATTGACCACGGGATGCTGCCAACGGTTGTAAGTGTGAAAAACGGCCATGAGTCACTTTTCTTCAGTGCTGTTGTAACTTTGAATGGGTCACTAAGCAAGCTGTTGTAAGTCAAGGGAGAACCCTTGCTAATCCACAACAAGGCTGTTACAGCTTATTGTCTTGTATAATTCACTGAAACGGAGGAGGAGAAGAAGAAGAAGAGAAGGAGGCAGCGGAGGAGGAGAAGGAAAGAAGGGGAGGAAGGAGGTGGAGGGGAGGAGGAAGAGATAGGAGGAGAAGAAGGAGGAGGAGGAGAAAAGAAGGGGAGGGGAGGAAGAGGAAGGAGGAGGAGGGGGGAGGGGAGGAGGAAGAAGAGGAAGGAGAAGAAGGAGAAGGTTATCTTTTTAAAACCAAGTTAAACATAACGACTTACGTTTCTCTTGCAATGATTTTGTTGCCGAGACCTGCCTGGATAGCTATTTCAAACATCTGCCTCGGAATGAGGTCTCTTAATCGCTCGCACATAGATTTACCAACAGAGTAGGCTTTCTCTCTAGAAAAGAAGTAAGAATGGGTCAGTCCTGGGTCTTATTCCAAAGGACATCAACAGTGGACATCAGGATTGGGGTGTCCGGCTAAGCCCAAGAACGATGTTAAAAAAAAACTTCCCGCTAAGAGTCAGTTCTTTGATTTGCTTTTACGCACAATAGACAGAATCTTGCCAGACTTTACTACGCTCATCCCTACCCATAGACCCTGGAAGGTGGGAGGAAGCGATGGCAGGTAGTCCTCAACTTATGACCCCAATTGAGCCCCAAATGTGTGTCGTTAAGGGAGAAACCTGTTAGGCGAGTTTTGCCCCTTTTTTCATGACTTTTCTTGCCAGAGTTCTTAAGGGAAACAATGCATTTGTTCAGTTAATGAATCTGGATTCCCCATGGATTTTGCATGTCAGAAGGTTGCAAAAGGCAACTGTCATAAATATGAGTCTGTCGCCAAATATCTGAATTTTGATCATGTGAATTGGAGGGATGCTGCAATGATTGTAAGTGTGAAAAACGGTTGTAAGTCACATTTTCCAGTGCTGTCGTTAACTTCGGTCACTAAACGAAGTGTTGTAAGTTGAGGACTGCCTGTATTCAAATGGTAAGCTTCTCAATACGGATTTAAAAAAATATGATATTTTCCGTTTGAGCTTAAAGGTAAAGGTTCCACTCCTTGCACATACGTACTAGTCGTTTCTGGCTCTAGGGGGCGGTGTTCATCTCCATTACACAGCCGAAGAAGAGCCAGCGCTGTCCAAAGACATCTCCGTGGTCATGTGGCTGGCATGACTCAATGCCAAAGGCGCACAGAACGCTCTTACCTTCCCACCAAAGGTGGTGCCTATTTTTCTACTTGCATTTTTTACATGCTTTTAAACTGCTAGCTTGGCAGAAGCTGGGATGAGTAACGGGAGCTCACTCCGTTATGTGGTGCTAGGGATTCGAACCGCCGAACTGCCAACTTTTCTGATTGACAAGCTCAGCATCTTAGCCCCTGAGCCACGGCATCCCTATATTTGAGCTTGGAGAAGGCTAAATCAACACAATTGGACCCAGAGAAAGATTGAAATTGTGAGACAGACAATGTCTGTGTATCAAAAAACCGAGAATGTAAAGAAAGACAGTTGTAGGTTATAAACAAATCCAGCAAATCGCCCTTAAAATAATTAAAATTTCTCCAATCCAAATAAATTTCACAGCATTCTTGTTACGTTACTTATCATTCATACTTCACAGGTTATGTGTGTAACAATTTAAATTTTCAATTGCAAGGATGTCGAGGTGTTTTCTTACCCCCAGGAATACCCTGTTTCCCTGAAAATACAACCTACCCCGAAAATAAGTCCTAGCTTGATTTTTACACGTGTGCCCAATATAAGCCCTTCCCCAAAATAAGCCCTAATTAAGATCCCGCCCACTCCAGAGTGGATGAGTAAAAATTAAGCTAGGG